TGCCGGAGAAGGAGGGGCCATTTCCTCCTGTACCTGTCAGATCCAATTTGACAGCACACGCACAGAGAAAATAATAAATTTTTAAAAAAATTAATAGTAATAAAAAATAAGACTAAGCTGTACCTGATTCAGGCTTTCTAATCACTTGCTATGCCTCAGAGAGCTGGGCAGTGAATAAGGATGACAGAAGAAGAATCAACTACTCTGAGTTGTGGTGTCAGAGAAGAGCACTGACTGTCCCATGGATGGACTGCCCATGTCTCAGAGAAAGTGCTGCCGGCGTGCTCCTTACAGGCGAGGACGGGGAAACTTTGGGTATGTGGTCAGGAGAGGCTGTTGCTCAGAAAGGGACATCGTGCTTGGAAATGTGGAGGGTCGGTGAAAGAGAGGGAGAGCCTCAGCCAGCAAGGTGGATTGAGCCAGTGACAGCAGCAGTGGGCTCAGGTGTGTCAGAGATGATGGGGATGGCACTGGGTAAGGACAGGGCTCAGGTAAGACCCTGCTGTTCAGAGGGTCGCCGGCGTGAGTCGTGCTCAACTTGCCAGCACCTGACAACACAGCAATAACAACGGCACTGGCTGACATGGATTTTATGTCACATTTCTTTTATTTTTCTTAAAGCTATATACCATTTATTAATATTAATGAAATTTGGCAGAAATTCTCAAACTCCCCTTGTTAGTTTACCGAGTTTAAATATATAGTTACATTTGTGTATAGACTATAAGAAAATATAATGTATTTAGTATTATTTTTTATAATATTTTAATAATAATTTTTTTTTATTTTATTATTTTTGTGTGCGTGTACCGTCAAATCAGATCTGACTGGTACAGGAGGAGATTGCCCCTCCTTCCCCGGCAGAGCATCTGGTGGATTCGAACCATGCACCTCTGGGATTGTAGTTGCAGCTTCTTGCCACTAGGCCACCAGAGCTCCCCTTAATAATAAATTTTTAAGGGAGCTCTGGTGGCCTAGTGGCAAGACACTGACTGCACTACAATCCCAGAGGTACACGGTTCAAATCCACCAGACGCTCTGCTGGAGAAGGAGGGGGCAATCTCCTCCTGTACCAGTCAGATCTGATTTGATGGTACACTTAAAAATAATACAATAAAAATAAAAATAAAAAATTTTATGTGTGGGGCTTTTTTACATTTTATTTTATTAATTTTTTGTTTTGTTTTTTTTGTTTTTTGGTGGTGACACAATCATTTATTGGTCTTACATAATTTATTCCCAATATCTGATATTATAAACTTTTGGGTCTTTGAGATACACAGGACCCTTGTATGTAACTGACATAAATTCCAGTTTTTGAGCCCTCTTAATTGCTTTTGTGATTTCTTTTTGTTTCTTCCCACAAAGACCTGTTATGTGCCTTCCATATATGCATCCAGTAAATGGAGAAATAAACTGGGACAAAAGCAGTACATTCTTATAATCTACATGTTTTTCACACAAGATACATTTTTTTAAGAGGTTCTTTATAAGGATTCTCCATTGGAATGGGCAAGTCCTCATGGTTGGTCACCTGTTTATACTGGGAGCAAGCTCTTTTCCATAGCACCAAGTGAGTCCTGGAATCTGAGGCCGACTGCAGCCGTTACCAAATGCGTCAATTTTTTTCTTCTCAGAGCACCACAGAGCGTCACCGTACTCACCATTGCGCCTCGTTCTTCCCCTTATTTTATTAATTTTAATGAACATTTACAGAGATTTTGGATTTCCATCCGTTCATTGTGTTGCACTTTTCTCTCTACCCCTCCACCAAATCCACTCCTCTCTTCGAAAAGCAAAAGATAAACTCCTTCATTGGTATACAGTCCTCCCCTCTGCCCTGAATGCACTCCACTATGCAGCCTTAATTCTGGATTCCTGTGATAACTATAATACCCTATCATATATCACTTTTAAACTGTTCTCTCCCTCATCTGTTTGAATGCAGTATACACAATTTAGCCAGGTTTTCTCAGTCTTACCCCAATCCTGATGTCAGTCGCATTCTACAACAGTGGCACTATGCAGTATTTGTCGTTTTGTGAATGTGACGTTTCTTTAACCACACACATACACACGTAACAAGAGGGGAAAAAATGTAGCTGATGGGAGGAGAGGAAGAAGGATGCCGGGACAGAGGGTGAGCTTCCCCGCCTGCCTCCCTGCATACAACTCTGACCTTCCTCAACTGTGCCCCTGCCCAGGACTGGCTGGACACCCAGGACCGCAACTTGGGTCACTACGTCAATGGGAAGTGGCGGAAACCAGAAGGCAGGAGTGCTGTGCCCTGTCAGGATCCCATCACAGGTAGGATCATGCCCTGCAACCCTTGGTCACCAGGAGAGAGGGAGGTGTGTGGCCTTCCACTGTCCCTACCACTGACACTCCACTGTCTTTGCTTGGACCTCCGAGGGCAGGGAGGAGGGGTAGGGGGGAGGCAAAGATTCCGGGGTCCTCTTGTTCCCAGTTCCCCTAATTACGGTCTCAAGTCCCCACAGAGGCTTTTTGAAATCACTATCTGCTTAATCCTGGCCTTGCCCTTAAGAGACATCAAGAGGCGTCAGCTGTGGTAGCAGATTATTATCCCATTTGTCAGATGACAGAACTGAGGCCCAGAATGGGGATGGCGACCAACTTCATTGGCTTAGGCCACTCCCGGGGCTCCTGCCCTCCCCTCTCCTCGCATGGGGACCCCAACCCCTCCTCCCCTCTCCCCAGGAGAGAGCTTGGCCACTTGCCTGCAGGCAAAGGATGAGGATGTGGCGGAAGCCGTGGAGGCAGCCAGGTCGGCCTTTGAGAAGTGGAGCAGCCTCCCCGGGACCCTTCGGGCCCAGCACCTGACCAGGTGAGACAGCCCAGGTGTGGTCCCTGGCAGGTGGGACATGAATTCACCCTCCCGCATCCTCCTGGAGCCGTGGATGGGAGACTTGACTTCCCACGGAGCTGACAGACAGCCACCCTGTCACGCGGTGGTGGCTTGTGTGCTGGTGACAGGTTTCAGTGGCGCTCCCTGGCTTAAGAGAGACGAGGAGGAAAGGCCTGGCTGATTTGCAGTACAGTCAGTGGAAGCTTTCTGGGTCGCAGCAGGACACTGTCCAGGGCGGATGAGCCCCGAGGTTGGGAAGCACTTGGGCAATGCGAAGTGGGTCTAATGACGGGAGCATGCGCACTGAGGAGTGTGAGGATGGCGCAGGCGCACAGCACTGCCTTTGGCGGCGTGGGGGGACCAGAGTCGAAGAGCAGGGGCGCCTTGACAGCAGATGCAACTCCAGCCCATCTCGATGCAAATAAGAGAGGGAGCTCTGGGGGCTTTGTCCACTGGGAGCCGTGCCTTTGTCCCAAAGGCCTTGAGTGTGTCCGGCAGTTCGAATGCACCAGCAGCTCCAGTGGAGAAAGATGGGCGGTCTCTTCTGTTAAGATTTACAGCCTTCAAAACCTGGTAGAGTGACCATCAGCAGCAAGATGGATGGACACAGGAACCTGCACCAGTGGGTCTCAGCGCTGTGGGGACTGTGGGGATGTGAGGAGTCGGGGACACAGGGTTACTTGAGTAAGAATGGACTCAGTGTTAGGTTAGGTTAGGATAGGTTAGGTTAGGTTAGGTTAGGTTAGGTTAGGTTAGGTTAGGTTAGGGGACTTAAAGAAGAAATCAGAGAGAATGAGAGAAAGCTAATGCAGATTTATTAAAGGGGGGAAAGGGGAGCTCCCGGGTGAGTTCCTCATTCTGGAGAAGCAGAATGGGAAGTCACACTGTGAACTTACTGGGGAGGATTTTTATAAACGGAGTCTTTAGGGAGGGACATCCCACTCTGATTTACGAGCCACCTGCTAGCTTAGCCTGACAGGCAAGGCCGTTTTCTCTTCTTATCAGCAACAAGCAAGGCTATCAGCATTTGAGTTCTGCATTCTTCATTCTTCTCTTTGGCCGTCTTGGCCCAGAGTGACATTCAGCAGCCCCTAATGATACCAGGAAGACACATCTTCCCTCCCTGTTTGTCTTTCAGGTTTACTGGTTAAAAACAAAACCAAACACTTCCCTCTTCCCACTGACAAAGTTTCTCTTCCCCGGAAGATCCTTGAGGTTCGCTGGGGTTCTTGGCAGTTCAGTGGAGGTGGTGAAGCCTAAAGTCCATTTCCCAGCATATTCTTGGGAGTAAAATCCAATTTCCAAGTATTTCAGAGATTTCCAGGTATCCACCAACTTTACACCACACGCTGAGGTTTCGAGTCCTTCCCGGACTATCCCAGCTAATGGTCAAGTCACGTCTGACCAGTGGTGACCTCGTGTGGGTCAGACCAGAACCGCGCTCCATAGGGTGTTCAGTGACTGAGCTTTGAGAGCTACATAACCAGGTCTTCCAGGGTAGCACTGGATGGACTTGAACCGCAAACCTTTTGCTTAGCCAAGTGCATTCATTGAAGGGAGTTCTGGTGTTCTAAGAGGTAAGAAACTGCACTGCAAACTCAGGTGCGTTCATTGTTGGGACTACCCTCTGATTCCTGACTGGACTACAAGTCCCATAAATCTCTGGAGTTCCCCTGCCCTTGGTAAGTGGTAGTTGATGCCTTAGGGGCTCCTGGGAACTGTAGTCCTGGGTACCTGCTAGGTGATGAGGTCTAGGTGATGAGGTGACAGGGGGCGTAGTTGGGCAATGACTGTCCCCTGACTTTCCACACAGGCTGGCCAAGATGATCCAGAAGCACCAGCGACTGCTGTGGACGCTGGAGTCCCTGGTCACTGGGAGAGCTGTTCGAGAGGTCCGAGACAGGGATGTCCCCCTGGCCCAGCAGCTGCTGCAGTACCACGCGGGCCAGGCATACACCCAGGAGAGGGCGCTGGCTGGCTGGGAGCCCGTGGGTGAGAACCGGGAATCCCAGCCTGTAACCACCTCATCCCCAGTGTCCCGGAGGTGCCAGCCCCAATGCCCTCTGTTTCTCTTGTAGGGGTGGTTGGCATCATCCTGCCCCCAAGTTTCTCCTTCCTTGAGATGATGTGGAGGATTTGCCCTGCCCTGGCGATGGGTGTGTGATAGACCAAGGACCTGGACTCCTGGGTCTGAGGGGGGCAGGGCTGTGGGGCCTGGACTCCTGGGTCTGAGGGGGGCAGGGCTGTGGGGCCTGGGCTTCTGGGTCTTAGGGGGGCAGAGCCGTGGGGCCTGGGCTCCTGGGTTAGGGGGACAGGGCCTTGGGGCTGGCCTCCACAGTCTCACCCTACTGCTCCCCCAGGCTGTACTGTTGTGGCACTGGTGCCCCCTGCCTCCCCAACACCCCTTCTCCTGGCCCAGCTGGCTGGCGAGCTGGGCTCCTACCCCGGAATCCTCAATGTGCTCTGCGGCCCCCCCTCTCTGGGGCCTGTCCTGGCCGCCCAGCCTGGAGTCCACAAGGTGGCCTTCTGTGGAGCTGTTGAGGTATGGTCAGGTCCAAGAGGGGGGCGGACACAGGGAGGATGAGAGGCATCACCCCAGCTGAACCCCGGGGTTCCCACAGGAAGGACGTGCCCTCCGGCGGGCCCTGGCAGGCGGGGGTGCCGAGCTGTCCCTGGCCCTGGGGACGGAGTCGATGCTGGTGCTGACCGACACCGCGGATGTGGATTCGGCCGTGGAGGGGGTGGTGGACGCAGCCTGGTCAGACCGCAGCCCGGTGAGACCCACTGGGCCCACGTCTGGGGGTCTGTCTCCAGATAACGGTGCCTGTGTTTCCACACATTGTTCTTTTTACCATCTTCGTGTCCCCAAACTGTCTTCGCCCCGTGCAATCTCCCACCAACGCCCCTTACCACTTTAACTTTTTTTCATTGTGATGTAATATGTGCCACCCAGACCGTCTTCACACATAGGACTCGGCGACGTGGATGACTCTCGCCAGGCTGCCCAGCCACCACCAGCCACTGTCCTTTTCCAAGTCCCTTCATCACCCTTAAAGGAGACGCAAGGAGCTGTGGTGGCTCAGTGTCTTAAGCATTCAGCTCAAACCCACAAGCAAGTCTGTCAGGGAAAAACCTAGTGACTTGCTCCCGTTAACAATGAAACCCACTTTCGTCAAGTCGGTTCCACCTTCTGGTGACTGCAGGACAGGGTAGAACTTTCTGGGGCATTTCCAAGGGGGTGGCCTTTGGCCTGGGGGACAGGGGCTGCGCCACCAGCCCACAAGCAGGGCACATCCTCCGGCTGCTCCGTGGTGGGGTGAAGGAGGAGCTCTCCTCCCGTGCCGTCCGCAGCCCCTGAAAACCTGATGGTGGGTCAGTGATGTGTCATTTCCATCTCGATGACCAGGGGTCAGGTTTGAGTTGAGTCTTTGCAGGACCAGGCTGCCTCCCCTTTCTCCCCCAAGGGGCAGCTGATGGTTTTGAACCACTGATGTTTTAATTAGCAGCCGAGCATTTAACTATCGTGCCACCAGGGCACCCTCCTCTGTAAAGATGACAGTCTGGGAGAGTCTGTAGGCATTTCTCCTCCACCACATGGGGTCACTTGGAGTTGGAATCAACTCACAGACACACATACCCCCCCAGCAATTTAGAGACTGACCACCTCAGCTTCCTGAATTCCCAGGCCCCAGGCTCCCCTGGTCTTGGACTGTTTGGGGCTCCAGGCGGCTGGTTTTTCCGAATGCCAGCTTCAGTCAAGGAGCCCTGGTGGGGTGATGTTTAACACATTGCTGCACACTTATTAAATTGACAACCGTGCTTAGAAACACGTTTGCTGTCATTTGTGGCAACGTGTTAAAGTGTGCAGATGCTCACTGAAGGTTCAGGGGCTCCTGTCAGCCGTACCCCAGGGGATGGCCCTGGTAATCGTTTCCACAGAGACTAAGCCTCCAGGCCAGCCGTGAATCTGAATAATTGGGAGATGCTTTGCTTTAGTCCACATCATTCAATGTCTTTGACTCCTATCCAACCCCAAGCTTGGGACCCCTGCAGTCTTCTCTGTGCCCCATTCTCCCCATCCTGGGCCCCGAGTCTGCCCACGCTGACTCCCTCTTTCCTGACAGGGAGGCCTCAGGCTCCTCGTCCAGGAGTCCATGTGGGAAGAGACCATGAGGCGACTCCAGGCACGGATGAGGCAGCTGCGCTGTGGCCGAGGGCTGGACGGGGCTGTGGACATGGGGGCCCGAGGGGCTGCTGCATGTGACCAGGCCCAGCGTTATGTCCAAAAGGCCCAGAGCCAGGGTGCACAGGTAAGCCAGGGTGCTGGTCCTGGGGCTGAGAGAGGAGGCGCTGAGTCTGGGGTCCAAGGAGTGTGGGACCGAAGGCTTGGACTTCTGTGCTGAGGAAGGAGGACATTGGAGTTGGGATTCCTGGGTCCAAGAGAACAGGGAGCTGGGCTCCTAGGTCTGAGGGTAGAGGGACTGGACCCTGAGGAAGTGGGGGGCTGGACTCTTGTGTCTGAGGGAAGAGGGGGACCAGACTTCTGAGTCTGAAGGAAGAGGGAGTAGGGGTCTGAATTCTTGAGTCCGAGGGAGAAGGAAGAAGCAGGAAGGAGACTTGTAGACCCAGCTCTGCTTCTCTGCAGGTCTTCCAAGCTGGGGATGTGCCCACAAACAGCCCGTTCTTCCCTCCGACCTTGATTTCCGACCTACCCCCGGCTGCCCCGTGCGCCCAGGCAGAGGTGAGCCCTTGGTGGGGGGAGAGCTCATCATGACACCCCGAGGGGGCCCTGGGACGGCAATTCCACCTGATCTCGGGGCCGTGGACCCTTCCTGAGCCACATCTCCCTCCCAGGTGCCGTGGCCTCTCGTCGTGGCCTCCCCGTTCCGCACAGGCAAGGAGGCCCTGGCCGTGGCCAACGGGACGCCCCGGGGCGGCAGTGCCAGTGTGTGGAGCGAGAGGCTGGGGCAGGCGCTGGAGCTGGGCCACAGGTCAGTCAGCTCCCCCAGACACAGATGGATGCCTGAGCTTTGACCTCTCTCTTTCTAGAGGGTTCTCCTCACCCTGGGCTCCTCTGCCCCACCCTGTAGTACCAGCTTCAAATACAAGAATTACCACAAAGCCAATTCCTGTGAGGCGGAGGTCAGATACATCCCAGATTTCCATGTTTTCCAAGCTGGTGGCCTCCCCATCCCGGCTCCAGCCACTCACTCATTCCCACTGCAGCATCTCACACAGCTCACAAACGATGCTTCCAGTTAAGTGGTTAAAGAAGTAACGGTACCTCTGAGGGTCAGGAGCAAGAGCAGGGTCGGGAAGTGTGTCTGCAAAGTCTCCCCTCTTCAGTGCAGCCCACGTCTCAGTCCATGAGGATGAGCTTCTGTGAGCCCCTGAGGACAGACGAGGTCTCAGCCCTGCCGTCTCCACCACCTCTGCCTGTGGGCCTCCCCAGGCCTCGTCCTGTGCTCCTTGTTCCAGCCTGTGGCCTCTCTTGTTGTTGTTGTTGATTGCCTTCGAGTCAAGCACGACTCGTAGAGACTCTGAACAAAAGGCCTGAAGTTCCTCTATAACTGTTGACATTTATCAAAGTTCATAGAGTTTCCAGAGGCCAGCTCTTTAAAGAGAGCTCCTATCTCTTTTTTTCTGTTTGCTTTCTTCTGTTCTCTGTCTGAAAAGGGATGGCTGCTTACATGAGAGAAACTCATCAATTTCAAGCCATGGCCCCAACCGGTAGAGGTGGGGTAAGGGCCACAACCTGACCAATCTCACGGGAGGCTTCAGACACTTCATTTGCATAGTAGGCTATGCTTGGTTACCTTATTTGCATAATTGATCATTGCTTCATTTGTTGTTATTTTTTGTGGGGTTTTTTTGTGTGTATGTGTTTTTAATTTTACTTTATTAATTTGTGTGTGTGTGCCATCAAATCGGATCTGACTGGTAAAGGAGGAGATTGACCATCGTTTTTCAGCAGAGCATCTGGTGGATTTGAACCATGTACCTCTGGGATTGCAGTGCAGCTTCTTGCCACTAAGCCACCAGAGCTCCCTTCATTGCTTCATTTGTATGAGTATATTGACCAGGCCCGGTAAGATCTGCAAGCTCTGCAGGCCACGTCCCAGGGAGCTCTGGTGGCCTAGTGGCAAGAAGCTGCGCTGCAATCCCGAAAGCATGCTGTTCAAATCCACCAGATGCTCTGCTGGAGAAGGAGGGACAAGCTCCTCCTGTGCCCTTCAGATCAGATTAGACTGTACACAACAACTACAACAACAAGAAAAGAAAGCCACTGCCACTGCCACTGGGCCAGTTCAGTTGGTTCATAGTTACGCTATGAGACAGAGTAGAACTACCCCATAGGGTTTTCGGGGGTGTGAGTCTACTGAAGCCGACTTCATTCTTGTCCTTTGGAGAGGTTAGGAGGTCAGAATACTGACCTTTCAGTTAATAACGAAGAGGTTAACCACTGTGGCACCAGCACTCTTAAAAGGTCACATGAAGGAAGTCAGTGCAGCTTATCCTCTCTCTGGGTCTCTAACCTCCCCTCTCTCTCTGGGTCTCTAACCTCCCCTCTCTCTCTCTCTGGGTCTCTAACCTCCCCTCTCTCTCTGGGTC